AAATATAAATAAAATTGAATTAAAAAAAAATTTTAAAGGCACAAAAATACTTATGGGAATGGGCATACTTCAAAACTAGAATTTGTATGCACCAATCCTTTATATTCTCACTTAGATATTTTCATGGAATTATCTAAAGTATTTCCATATTAGGCTCTCTGTCCCCAAATTATACATTTAACTGACTTCAGTAACACTTATAGCATTTTTAAAGATTTCTGAATTATACTCCAGCCTCCCTTTGTACATGGCATAGGGATTAATTCCAAACCACAAGATTCCTTTCATTAGGCTCCCAGTCCAAGTTACTTTATACAGTTCAATATCGCAGGTCAAGCGCCATCATGTTAGGATATCCCCAAAGCTAATTTATAAATAAGAGCTTAAGATAAATTCTTCAACAGGTGACCTACCTGCCACAATGGGGCATTAAGTTGATGAATCACCACATTCAATTGATGATTTCTTGCAAAGGCTACAATTGCATCATTGCCAGCAAAAGTACCAGGCTTTGCCAAACTGGCCACTGCGTGGAGATAAGAAAGAAAAATGGAGTCTTTATAATGGAAAAATCCAAATGTAAACATGGTTTGGTATTTATTTAGTTCCAAATAATGAGAAAAAAGAGTATACATCTGAAAAGTCCATTTAGTTTGTCAGAGTCTAGAAATTGAGCTGGTTGAACAATACAGACTGCTACTCATAAGAGCACTAATCATTAATCAAAAAAAGGATCCATTTATTCATTTCTTCAATAAATATTTGCTGAGTATTTCCTATATGCCTAACCATATAAGAGACACTGGAAATGTAATAATAAACACAGTTATCATAACACCTTGCTTTAATAAATGCTTATATGTGTCAAGCACTACTCTACTCCCTTCTCATAGATTATCACTTTTAATTCTCAAAATAACCCTCTGAAGAAGCATTATTATGCATGCCATTTTATAGATGAGGAAACTGAGGTGCAGAATAGTCACCACTGTGCCCAAGGTCACAGAGCCAGTACTCAGTGGAACTCAGATTTCACCCAGGCAGCCTAACTCCGAGCCCTGGCTCTTGGCCATTCCATCAGTTTGCCTTCCAGGAGTTTACAACCAGTGGGGGGGGCAAACAACGAAAAGATGAAGACAGGCAGATGCATAAGCTGAGAAGGGGATATGTAGTAAAGAATTTGGCCTCTATCCCCAGATCCTGGGAGGTGACCACTAAACTTCTGGAATTTCCAAAGGTGACAGGAGTCTTCGTTACTCATGGTGGTCCCCTCCACCACACCTGATCCCAGCCATGTGCTATAAAGTCCCTTTCCATTTAAACAAGCAATCAATAAGCCCCCCCCCCCAAAAAAATAAAACACTCTGGACACCAAAGTTGGGGTGAGCTTCCCTGGTTGATAATACTCTGTGTGTACTGCGTACTGTCACACACAAGATGCCAGGAGAATAATATGTCCTGAGGACTACAAAAGTTTCGTATTAGAAACCTTACCAGACTG